ATTATGAGTCGTTAAAACGGGAAACGATAGTTAGATTTGAGTCGTTAAAACGAGAAACGATCAAAGGTAGATTATGAGTCTTTAAAACGAGAAACGATCAGTTGCAGATTATGAGACTTTAAAACGAGAAACGATCAGTTGCAGATTATGAGTCTTTAAAACGAGAAACGACTGTCAGTTGCAGATTATGAGTCTTTAAACGAGAAATGATCATTTGCCGATTATGAGTCTTTAAAACAAGAAACGATCAGTTGCAGATTATGTGTCTTTAAAACGAGAAACGATCAGTTGCAGATTATGAGTCTTTAAAACGAGAAACGATCAGTTGCAGATTATGAGTCTTTAAAACGAGAAACTTAAAAAGAAAATTATCTAGAGTGCAACTATTGAATCTTATCAAAATATAAATCTGCACTCTGGATTTTTTCCAAGGTCTTCATTCTTGACACAATTACTATTTTCTCAAGACAAGATGCATGGCTATAAACATGTTTTCAAATTAAAAGAAAATGATTAAATTCATAACCTGCTGTTATTTAAAAAGTATAATACATAAATTAATCCAAAACTAAGATAATCTAAATATTAATTACATTACAAAAAATGAAAAAAAAATTTACTTAATTTGTTTAATAAGTTACATCACTTAGAATCCACCATAATTTACCAAGAATTTCCAGTTAGCCTCATGAATATTTATAAACGTTACTTTACATTTGCCTTAATAATGTTCATCAGAGGACGAAACGCGTCGGCTAAGATAAGTTTCCCCTTTGTCTTTATTCATATTGTCGTGATACTGGTAAAGAAAAAATGTATATTTATTAATATATACTTAATAGCTCTGTTACATTATATCGAGCACTATTTTATTTACATTCAGCATTCAATGTGCGATATCATATATATATATATATATATATATATATATATAAAATGAAATGGATTAAATCCACCAAATATTTTAATATATTTTCTGCTTATCCATAAAATAACGTATAAACAGAATATATATATATATATATATATATATATATGTGTGTGTGTGTGTGTGTGTATGTGTGTATGTATGTATAAAAAGGAATATTTAGACTGCAAGAATTTATTCAAAGAATGTTGATTGAAAGAACCGATGTCCGTTTATTTTTATTTTATTTAATTTTTTCCATTTGAATTGAAAATATATAACAAAAAATTTAATAATTTTAGAAAAGAATAAAAAAGAAATTAAAAATACGAATTAGGAAAATAACTTTAAAAAAATTGAACATGCAGCCATTGTTGATTCTTTTTAATCAAACTTCTTTGGACACACACACACACACACACACACACACATATATATATATATATATATATATATATATATATATATGCGTATGCATTATTTAATCTGTTGCTCCTAATCACTTTTTCTCTTTGAATCACTGTGTTGGATGTGTCCTTGTATAAGGTTTATCCTCGTAACAATTTATTCACTACTACATTTCATTTCCTTCTCTCTCTTGCTTTCTTTAATTGCAAATCTGCGCACGTACACGCGCAGGTGACTAATTCTCTGCAAATACACATCTCTGCAAACATGAACCACAAATCCCCTCATCATCTCATTCCGACCCCCACCTTTGCCCCTTTCGCCGTTCACTGTAATTAATAACCGCTGACAATTGTGTACTATGCCTCGTTGCGCGACCGCCATGCCCTTCGTTGCTCGGCTGCATCTATAAAGTATAATTAATTTTTCAAATAAATATTTGCAACATTTTACCGTCTCTCTCCTGTTTTTTGTACGCATGCATCAATATGTTTAGATATTTACGGACATTTTAACTTAGACTGGCACAAGACCAATATAATTAAACATTAATCGTGATTATAATTGAGTTTATAGGTAAACATTACACATGTTTATACTAGAATCTATTGTTAAACACTGATCGAATTTATACGTGTGTCGCGTTTATAGGTACACATTAGTTGAGTTTACACTTGAGTCTTTAGGTAGAGATTAGTCTGGTTTATACTTAAGTCTATAAATATTATATATTTCCAAAGAAGTTTGATTAAAAAGAATCAACAATGGCTGTCCGTTTAATTTTTTTTATTGCATTTTCCTAATTCGAAGTTTTAAAAAAATTTTTCTTTTCTAAAATTATTTAATATTTTGTTATATTTTTTCAATTCCAAAATTGTAAAAATGAAATAAAATAAATAAACAAAAATTGTCGATTCTTTTTTCTTTGAATAAATACTTGCAGTCTAAATATTCCTTTTAACACACACACACACACACACACACATATATATATATATATATTACAGCAAATAAAAAACAAAAATTACCTTAACATGGAGATAGTCTATTTCAAGCCGTTCTGTACACGGCTATCATCATCCCCTAAGTGTCTCTCTCGGAGCATTGTTTTCAATGTCAGCCCTCTTCTAGTAGACGCCTTTTTAAATGAGAGTAGGTTTGTGTTAGCAATTGGTGGGGGCGTAAGTTATCTTATCCCGGGTGGGGGGGAGCGGTCTGGGGTTGGAAATTATTTATGGCCAGGGCTTGTTGTTTGTAGTTTAATATCAGTTCCTACTATATGGCGTTTCTCATAAAAGTCCCGGAGTGTGTTTTGCTGTAAAAATACATATGCTCTGTTAAAATAAAAAAAAAACATCGAGTTCTCTGTGGATCAGTTTTAATAATCAATATTACTAGGATCCACCTGGATTATATACCACCTGTACTATATATATATATATATATATATATATATATATATATTGTGTGTGTATTTAGGCAGCATCTTTTCGTTCATACGTTTCATTAAATAATATATATATATATATATATTTTTTTTTTTTTTGACTCTAAGGTCACATCGCAAGAATTTAACATAACACGAGCTAACCATCTTTTGTTTAAAACGCCATGTCCCTTCAGGACGTAGGAGATTATAGCACTCCACTTCCTTTTTTATCAACTGTGAATTAGTATGACGTTTTAGAAAAGATAGTGGAGCGATTACCAATGTTTCATAGACTAAGCAAATGCCTTCGACAGAGTACGCCACAAGGATCTGCTGGAACTGCTCAGCAACCTTGACCTATTCGGGAAAGATATCAGAATAATCAAGAAACTATACTGGCTGCAAACAACATGCCTGTGCATAGGGAACAAGTTCAGCGAATACACAAAAATAGAAATGGTCGTAACGCAAGGATGCGTCTTCTCACCCGACCTATTCAACCTATAAAGCAAGGCAATCCTGAGAGAATTGAAAACCCTACCGGGATTTAGCATTGGTGGCCACAATCTTAATAACATAAGATACGTAGATGACACAGTACTGATAGCAGATACGGAAAAGAAATTACAAAATTTCCTACAGAAGTTAGTGACGGAGAGTGAGAAGAAAGGACTAAGCATAAACTACAAGAAGACAGAATGCATGGTCGTCAGTAAAAGGATGAGCCTGAAATGCAATTTGCAGGTTGGGGGTACTACAATCAAGGAGACACGGAAGTTTAAATATATGGGAAGTGTCTTTCTAGAGGACGGTAAGTACGATTGAGGTCCGTAGACGTATTTCTATGGCCAATGACGCATTCCAAAAGCTGGGCAGAGTACTGCGAGACAAGATGATTTCTTTGGTAACAAAGAAAAGAATACTGAGCTGTTACGTGACATCTGTCCTTCGAATGTTGGACGATTTCCGCAAAGATAAAGAAGAGACTCGAGGCGACAGAGATGTGGTTCTGCAGAAGGATGTTGAGGATATCATGGACCGGGCATATGAGCAACGAGGAGGTCTTAGAGTGGTTGCAAACAAGGAGGAATCTTATACTTAAAATCAAGAAGAGGCAGCTGAAGTTTCTGGGACACATAATGCGAAAGAAGGGTTTGGAAAATCTGATACTCACAGGTCGAATAGAAGGAATGAGAGACAAGGGAAAGCAACGCATGACACCTGACGGGCTTAAGCAACTGGATGACAGAACGTGGTCTGGGGGAGGCGGCATGAAGACTAAACTTATTGAGAGCCACAAGGGACAGGGGGAAATGGAGAGCCATGATCGCCTACGTCCTGAAAGGACAGGACACATAATAAGAAAAGAAAGAAGAAACAAGTTATTCGCCGTGATAGAGTATTAATAATACAATCATAGAAAACCGTCTCTAGCTTTTATAAGAGAACAGAGGCGAAAATATGGCTGTTTTAATAATAATAATAATAATATTAATAATAATAATAATGCCTTCATGCTACACCTGGTACATCTCTCATGATCTTATAAGCTTAATTGATTGGAGATGTTAACCCGTATATGTTTTAGCTTGAATAATTAAAGTGGCTTGCGGTTAATTTCCTTTTCAGTAGCGCAGATTTACTTGTCGGTTGCTTGACCTCAACCACTTCGGTATGGCCCCTAGGAGCCGACGCGCTGTGTACCTCTGATTATGCGGTCAAACGTCATGGCCGGTTGTCGAGAGATTTTTCTTTTAAGCGCGAAGGATGACGCGACTCAGGCGACTTAGGAGTCATTTCGGGAATCGTTTGAGTGGAGCGGAGCGGACGAGCAAACATAAAGGTATTTCTACCTGTCACATTACTACCTATGTTCGGTTGTAATGCCTATCTTATCTCTTATCACACTGGGCATTTTGGGATACATATATACGTATCCCAGCGATACTTCCCGATGCACTGTTTCTTCATTCAATAATAATATTTATTTATTTGTTTTCTACGGCTTATCAACCCTTTTCAGGTTATTTAAAGCCAGCTACTATTTTTAGATTTTAAGGTTCATTTTGGCGATAATGCTGTTTTAGTGATACAAGTGTTATTAATTCACCCGTAGCTCGGAAAGAAGGTGGATGGTTAACTTTCCCAAGGGTATTTGCGCGTTAGTGAATATAACGAACCCAACCAGAATTGGAACTTAGTTCCCTGATTAACGATTCAGAGCCATTATCCATTACACCAACCGCACATCCAAATTTACAGCTCCTGATATTCCCAAGCGGTCACCCATCTAGATAGTGACCAGGGTCAACGTTTCATAACTTCGGTGATCGTACGGGAACCGGTGTTTCAATAATATTCGGTCTTTAATTTTAATAATAATAATAATAATAATAATAATAATAATAATAATAATAATAAGAAGAAGAAGAAGAAGAAGAAGTATGGACTTCGAATTAGATAAATGTGCGAAAATCAGGTTGCACGATATTAACACCCACTGAATATAAAACCCGGCATGACAGAGTGGGCCAATATCTGCACTGGAAAATATGCAACTTCTACGGGAAGGAAACTGAAAGAAACTGGTATGAATACCACCCAGACCCGGTTACGGAGATAGGACCTGTTACAATTCTATGGGATTACACAATACACACTGACAGAACAATCAAAGCCAACCGCCCAGATATTGTTATTAAAGACCACAAACAAAAACGGTGCCTCCTTGTTGATATGGCAGTCTCTGCTGACTGTAATGTATCTGTGAAAATATTCAAAAAGCTGTCAAAATACAAGGACCTTGAAATAGAAATCTTGAAAATGTAGCATATGGGAACATCTACAATCCCTGTTGTAGTTGGAGCCCTAGGACTGGTTGGAAAAGATTGCAGCAGACTAATTGAAGAAATTCCTGGAAGTCCATGTCTCAAGGAGATACAAACAATTGTTCTGACAAGTACAGCCCACACTTTACGAAGGGCTTTATCTATGTATTTTTTTTTGTCAGTGGAAAGTGTCATGATGCCATTTCTAACCTTAGGACCCTGGGCGGAAAGAAATGTGTAAACGCCAGAAATCAAAGAAAATAATAATAATAATAATAATAATAATAATAATAATAATAATAACAGAGGCAATTCTCTTTCTGTCATTTATTGGCGCGCGTGAGGAAAAAAAAAACGTAATAGTAAAATTAATCCTTTTTATACCGGAAACATTTTTTTCGCATTCTTTGCTTGAAGCGTTTGTGTTATTGTTGGCTGAAATGTATAAAATCTTTTTCTTAAAACTGTTTTTTAGGAAATTGGAATTCTTAAGTCCATTAAATGTTATACCTCTTTCTAATATAATAATAAAAGCATTTGTCTTTGGTAGTGTGATGTTGTAACCTAGAATAGGTTACTAAATGAAGAATAACCAAAATGGAGGTTGGAAATGAAATGATAATCTTTATAACATCAACAAAATACAATACTCGCCAGCGGCGTGAAATAGGTAAACCACTGCTAGTGGTGGACTACTTAGACACCATATTACCCCCACTTACAATAGTGTCCAACGTATTTATGAGGATTGGGGCATTCCCATTAGTGTTCATAGGTACGGTATATAACATGTGGAAAGTTAATAGTTTGATTATATCTTTATTTTCTCTTTTACAGAGTAGCCAGTGAAAAAGCGGGAAAATTCAGAAAGAAATTCATGATTCATGCACAAACTGAACAATCATCGTAGATGTTTGAAATTTTAGTCAGAATGTTCAACACAAAGTTGTAAGCGTGGTACCCAGGAGGAGGGAGTAGCTTTGCGGATAGTGTCAAAAGGAATTTAATTTCAAGATTCAGTTAAGTTCCACTTCAGTCTATATCTATAATTCTCAAAATGTGTATGTATGTATGTGTGTATACACCCTCTGTTATTTAAGAGGTGCTCACATATGGCGGAACCATAAGTATTTGGGCCACGTCCATTTAAGGACGAGGTGTGATTCCTGATCTTAGTGGGAATATGCTGTTTAATTCTCATGTCCAGGCGTTGAGTCGTTCTCCCTATTTAGTCAACACCGCAACTTCAAATATATTTGTAAACAATAGAATTAATTTTATGCGGAGAGAGAGCATCGTTGCACAGAGAACGAAGCATAGGCCAGGTTTGAAAAACTATACGAAGCTCAGCCGAGAAAAAAACAACGCCGAACATGAGCTGAAATCTGCCTAATTATGCTTTCACTCTTGGATCCAATCCAGGGCAATTTTCAAAATGTGTGTGCATGTATGTGTGCGTGTGTGTGCGCGATTGGGTGTTTTTTATAGGTTTCCATAGTTTTTATCCGATTTCGATGAATTTGATTTTGTTTGATAGATAATTCTTCAGTGCCGGTTTTGAGTCCAAATTGGCTGGAAAAAATTACAACCATGAAGGTGAAAAATCGAAAAAACTGTTTTTTTTACACTTTGCGCAAAAATCAAAGGCAAAATTTAATGTCTGTAAAAAACAGCGTACAATCAATTTAGGGAGTTGAAATCTAACGCAAAAGATTATTAGAATTATATAAAAAAATATATTATAAATAAAAATTATCGTATATTATTATTATGACTGTTCATGGAAGAGATTCCTTGCTTGCAAGATTGAGAACGTAAAAACAAGCCCTTTTCAGCACCTCCATTCAAATTGTTAACCCCCCCCCCCCATTTGGGGGATGTGCCTCAGTTGCACCCGATTGTTGTTACTAATATTGATTTTCAGGTGGGATGACTTTAAACTTAAACTTCTCCAAATGAACGGCAAAAAATCTCAGTAATGAAAGACCCGATCAAAGGCGGGTTATATTGCTAGAGAATCAATATAGTCGACGAATGGGGCGACGATTTTACAAGTGAGTTAGGAATATGCTGCAAATACAGTATTCCATAACATTCACATCTGGGCTTTTAGAGGGCCACTGAAAAGGACCAATTAAAGTGGATGTATTTTCTCAAAGAATAAATTTGCCGCTTTTTTGCTGGGCACTCTGTAGTTATATGTGGCACCGGTTTTTGGTCTTGTTGTTGTTACTATTTGAGGTGGTCAAGTGATGCGGTTTTCGTTTTTTGATAAAGCTCTTTGTGTTTTTGTAGAGTACAATCGATAGGGTCGTCTTTAAGATTTATAGGATTAATCAATTTAAAGTCATTTTAACCACTGATTTGAGAAAACGAATTGGCTGAAAAAAGGTCAGCTTTTTACTTTCTCGACACATGTAGATCTTGCTTATCAAAAGAAAGAAGTAACAAATTTTGTCTTACCAATCACTGTCGATCTAGTATGAATATATATCCCTGTTTATTCGTATCTATTCTGTAGACGTGCATCTTTGTAAATGGGAAGGTTGACCCACTATTTTTATGCCCTGGGCTTTGTGTACATGTGTGCGTGAAATGTGTGCAAATCGTACCACGACGACTACCTGCGATGTCAGCTCGCCCGTGCCTGTCCTACGCTACGACTGGTTATTAAGAATTCTTCTTTTCACTCTAACTTGCTTGACGTTTCACTAATTTAAATTTATTTTTAAATACACGCCTTTTGGTAATTTGTTTTTCATTTTAGACGGCAATCAAGAGCCATTTTCTTTCTTCTTTTTTTTTTTACTATCTCTCAAAACTTTCGATCTTTCCTCCTGTGTCTTTCATTCTGTTTCTGTTTTCTTGTTCCCCGCTGATTAATTAATCATGGTTGTGCATTCTCCTTGATATTTCTTTACCCTCTTTGCTTAATTCTTATCCCTTCGTTCATACACTCGAGCTGCTCTTTTGCGTTTGTTTCTCCCTTTCTTTCTCTCTCTCACTCTCACACACACCCCTATTTATATTTATAGTAAAAACTAAGGTTAATTAGTTAGAACGACTCCTATTTTAGTCTAACATTAACACTAAGGCATTAATTATTATAACCAAGATTTGTTGTCAAAGTTTTGGAATTCTCATATACTTGTATTTTGATTGGTCATTGCAGCTTATGTAACAGCGTTGCCCCTATTGAGAGATGTTTGGTTGATTTGATCTTTTAAAACTCTTTATTCTACATTCAACACCATCACTTGATAAGACACCAGAAGTGTTGAAACAAAATAGCTATTTTTGTAATGATGTTGCATGTTTATGTTTGAATAAATATTATATATATATATATATATATATATATATATATATATATATATATATATATATTGAGCGGCCTTGAGCAGAAGCCTCACGTGTCACTTATCTGACCAACGTGCCATAAAAATAGATTTAGCCAACCCCAATGTACAAAAATCCATAAGGAAGATTCTGATTGATAAAACGATCACCCTTCAGAAATCCCTTAACCGAAAATATCTCGCTGTCAGAGAAGCCCTCTATATAAAACATATGGCAACCAGTATTAATTTGATCTTATTAAACAACGGAAACGATGTGTTAAAAGTTTTCTTTTTTTTTGTTAAATACAAAGTCGCCAAATCTTTTTCAGGGCTCCGAATAAACGCCACTAATATATAAACACCACACAACTATAACATTAAACAGATAACCATGAAAAGAAATGAACGACATTTAACAAAAAACCCCTGGCAAATGGCTAAAGAAGCGACCGGAACCGCTTGGGACAATAGACACTGCGGAAAATATTTACACTTCCTTACCCGCCACTAAAAGTAAAAATTTAAGAATATTTGAAAGACTAAATAAAAAATTAATAAAATTTTCCTTGTCTGTCATATTCAACGAAACATTTTTTTGAAAGAAAGATTGCTGCTTAAATAAGAAAGTTGGTTCACTGTGACAATTTTTCTCTCTAATCTATCCTACGGTGACACGGTGGAGTAATGGATAAGTAGCTTTAGCCTTGGATGGCAATCTCTCTACCGCAGAAAGAAATGGCAACCTACTGTCAATCATGTATCGAGAAATGCACGATCGCCTAAGTGTGCATCATGTATGGCACATAACTGACTGAATCTATCCTACATATCTATATGTCTACCATTCGTCCATACTTAGAATATTCTACATGGTCCGGTGCCCCTGCTATTTATCTTGACCTCTTTTTCTAAAATCCAAAAAGGGACCAGCAGTATTATCGGTGCTGATCTGGCATCTCGGCTTCAGTCATTTTCCCATTGCCGTATAGTTGCATCCCTCTGTCTTTACTATAAATACTTTCATGGTAATTGCTCAGATGAGTTCTGCTCTATGGTACCTCAACTTATTTTTAAATCTAAGCGTAGTACTCGACTGATATTAAAAAAGAAAACAGTTTCTTTTTGAATTAGTAGGTCTGATGAATTGGATCGTGATTACGATTCCAATGTAATAAATTATAAGCA